GCGGGGGTGCTGCAAGGGGGCGCCCTGGAGCAGCCGCTGCCACCCGAGAGCAGGACGTGCGGGCAGAAACGGGGAGGTCTGCACACAGCGGGGCAGGACCACGTGCATGGGGACAGGGGCAGCAGGACAGGGCCACGTGCACAAGGACAGGGGCGGTGGGTCCTCACGGCCACCGCATGGCAGTGGGGACAGGCGTGGGACAAGGCTGCAGGGCACAAACATTGGCTGGCAACGTGAGCAAGCCAAGGAGGGGACTGCAGGGCACCAGGCCCTGCGTGTGCCCGGGAGCAGCTCTGCAGGGAGTGGGTGCGACGCGGGCGCCCGCACGGGGCTGCACCCTGAGTGCCCGACTGCTCCCACGGGCCAGGGCAGCTCACGGGACAGGAGGAAACAGCCGTTGTTGCAGCAAGGCTGCATTGCAACGCGCTTTGCGCCCCGGTACCGCTTCCTGACTGCGTCGCATGGGCCCCATGAGCAGTCCTGGGACAACCCATCCGGGACCCTCCGGCCACCCCAGCGGTGCCTGGAGCACCGGCTGCTGCCCAGGGTGAGGGCAGAGCTGCCATCGCCTTGGCACGTGCCCGGTGCAGGGGCCAGGCCCAATGTCCTGCTATTTGCCATTAAACCCATCCCCAGCGCAGCCCCCGTGAACAAGGTGCAGGGGAGCAGCCCTCTCCTTCCCCCGCGCTGTAATAGTAAATCCCAGTGCTGGGATGAGCCCAGAGATCCTTTTCCAGGGAAATGCCAAGGACCAGGCAGTTTGAGCCCAGCCCTCGCTCCTAAGGCAGCAAGAGAGCCGATGCGCACAGAGAAATGACCCTGCATCCCCCTGCCCTCGCGGTGCTGAGCACTGACGCGCTCATCTCCTCACCCGCGGGCAGAGCTGCAGCAGACACAGCGCACATGTGGGGAGTTCATCCGTTTTATTGCAAAAGCAACCACAGCAGGAGGCGATAAGAGGATGCAGCGGGCAGTGCTGCGGCCCCCACGTGCTCCTGGCGCACTCGGGGCAGGCCACGGTGCAGGGGGAGGCCCCGGCCTCACTCGGCCTCCACGGCCACGGGGTTGACCTGTCCCCCCGGCTCGGCGGGCGGCCGCTTGCGC